TGCTCATTATGTAGGTGGTTGTAGATGATGTATGATAAATTTTTTAAATAAAATAAAGTTTTGTGTATTTAGATGAAGTACAGCTTAATTTTATTTATCATTTTGCTAAAAGTTATAAGTAACAGATCACCCAAAGGGAGCATAAAATGAGTGCCATTTCTCACATAGTGATGACTTCTCAGATCCCATTTCTAGATCATAATTAAGAAGTTTTACTTGTCTGAAAGAAGGTGGGGCCACCCCCATTGTTAGTGTTTTATTTTGCTATGCCTAACTGCATGCAGGTTTTGTGCTGCCTCAGTTACATTTTTGATGAATGTTTAAAGGCCAAGATCAATGCTAGCAACTTTCTCTGAGAATGTGCTATCTGTCATATGTCACATGTCACAACCTTTCTCTGCCTTCAAAATCAGGAGATTATATTCAGTCATGTGTGAAGAACAAAGCTATTTACCCTTTGGAAGTAGCAATCATAGTGAATGCTGAATAATAATGGTGACCTCTATTCAGTCTAATGCAGATATCCCTTAATTTTTTCTGTTATGAGGATGAAAGAATAGCCTGCAATTCTCAGAACTGAAATTCACTGACAATCTAGCACTCATTTTAACCAACTGTTGACTAAGGCAAAATTGAGATTATCTCTTTTGTTCTCCACACTCCCTCATGGTTTCAATGGCCAAAAGACAAAAACACAAATTGTTAATCAGCTTCAAATAATAATCATTTAAAATCAACATTTACAGTTTACAAAGTCCAGTTGTATTATTTCCCTTAGTCATAAAGCAGCCCTATAAGATAGAGAGATGTTATCCCCATTTTACAGATGTGAAAGCTGAGGTCCAGAACTTCCCATCCTAAATTTCTGCACTAATTTGCAGATACAAATTTGCCCACACACACACGCACACACCCTCCATGACTTGCATGAAATTGTTGTTGTTAGGTGTCGTCAAGTCGATTCCAACTCATAGTGACCCCATGTACAGCAGAACGAAGCACTGCCCAGTCCTGCAGCATCCTCACAATTGTTGCTATGTTTGAGCCCATTGTTGCAGCCACTGTGTCAATCCATCTTGTTGAGGAACTTCTTCTTCGCTAACCCTCTACTTTACCAAGCGTGATGTCCTTCTCTATGGACTGGGCCTTCCTGATAACATCTCCAAAGACTAGGAGATGAAGTATTGCCATCCTTGCTTCTAAGCAGGATTCTGGATGTACTTCTTCCAAAACAGATTTATGTTTGTTCTCTTAACAGTCCATGGTATATTCAATATTCTTCACCAACACCATAATACAAAGGCATTGATTCTTCTTCGGTCTTCCTTATTCATTGTCCAGCTTTCACATGCATATGAGGCAATTGAAAACGCCACGGCTTGGGTCAGGTGCACCTTAGTCTTCAAGGTGACATCTTTGCTTTTCAACACTTTAAAGAGATCCCTTGCAGCAGATTTGCCGAATGCAATACGTCGTTTGATTTCTTGACTGCTGCTTTTCCGTGGGCATTGATTTTGTATCCAAGTAAAATGAAATCCTTGAGAACTTCAGTCTTTTCTCCATTTATCATGATGTTGCTTATTGATCCAGTTGTGAGGATTTTTGTTTTCTTTATATTGAGGTGTAATCTGTACCAAAGGCTGTAGTCTTTGATCTTCATCAGTAAGTGCTTCACGTTCACTTCAGTTTCAGCAAGCAAGGTTGTGTCATCTGCATATTGCAGGTTGTTAATGAGTCTTCCTCCAATCCTGATGCCCCGCTCTTCTTCATATAGTCCAGCTTCTCAGTTTATTTGTTCAGCATACAGATTGAATAAGTATGGTGAAAGGATACAACCCTGATGCACACCTTTCCTTATTTTAAACCACTCAGTATCCCCTTGTTCTGTTTGAACAGCTGCCTCTTTATCTACGTACAGGTTCCTCATGAGGACAATTAAGTGTTCTGAAATTCCCATTCTTTGCAATGTTATCCATAATTTGTTATGATCCACATAGTTGAATGAAATAGAAATAATAATAAAGAAACACTTAAAAAGCAGAGCTATAAAATGTAGTTATTTTTGTTGCTCTTGGTAATATAGCATAGATCCACATTTTAAATGTGTGTGTTTTCTTGTACTGTATAGTGATATTTTTCTTATACCTCACTGCTTAAATATTACATTTTCCAAGCAAATGAATAGAGTGTCCAGCTGCCTGAAAAGACCAGATTGACATAATATGAGCTCTTTGTTTACTCACTGAATAGGCACAACTTGTGCCCTGCCAGCTGCTTTGTCCACAGTCTTAACCTTGTTCTGTAAGAACCACCTGTATGAATGACTGGAAAATTATTAATTCCATACTCCAGTTTAGCCTCGGGATCTTCTGTTAAGATTAAATCAGATAATGCCTTTGAGTGTGAACAATATACCACTCTACGAGTTAGGTTTGGACCACTCAGGCCAGGTGAACATGGACTCTAAAACACTGTGTTTGGAAGGAGTATGATTTATTGGGAGTTCCTTATATGAAGACACTGCTAAGGCAGAGAGACATTTTAATGCTGCACTCAGGACAGATGAAGGAAGGACTGTGCTGTTGAGTATTAGGTCTGTGAGTATTAGTATTTTCAGTGTTAGGACTATGAAGAACTGCCCTGCCTTACTCATTTCATATCAAATAGCAAATTGCTATAAGATGACAGTGGGTAGGCCAGAGTACATCTTTTTTTTCCTGATTTGTAAAAGAGGTCTATCCAGAGAAATGAACTTATTAATAGGAAATGGATACCAGGGTTGCTTCAAGATACAGCAGAAACTTAAAATATCAGAGAAGACAGGCTGACAACTCAATGCATTTTCTATAAATGCACCCCCAACATTTATACTGGATTTTAAGTTTAGTCATTGTCAGGACTTTTAGCAGCCACTTATAGTTTCAATGCATTAAAAAAAAAAAAAAAAAAACCCATTGCCATGGAGTCGATTCGGACTCATAGCGACCCTACAGGACAGAGTAGAACTGCCCCATAGGGTTTCCAAGGAGTGGCTAGTGGATTCGAACTGCCAACCTTTTGGTTAGCAGCCATAATTCTTAAGCGACTGGTAATAATCAGACAATATGTCAACTAAAATGCAGAAGCACGTATTATTGAAATAAAGTCTCCATTCTTTAATCAGTATAAATAGTTAAGGAGAGTCTACAGAAGTGCTTTACTTCTAGTCAAACAAAAACAATCACCTCCTCATCCCCTAATGAAGTTATACCTTACTTGAACATGGACCAAGTGCATTGTTGCCAGAGAAGGTGGGCAGAGACAGTGTTATGTTTTTCTAAACATTTCCAGCTCCATCTGATGACAGAACCTTGAGATATTTGGAAGCTGTGTTTCTGCTGCCTGCAATGTTAGTTGTTCTACTGGAAATTTAATTGTGAGTGGGCTATGACACCGAACTCTTATAATTTCCTCCAAGTGACCTTATCTCAGTTATTATCAAAACTTGGCCCAGGGCCCTTAAGGCATCACTCATTCCCATTCAATCAGTAGAAGTAGGAGCTAGAGGATGAGTGGGGTGACATATGTGACCAAAAGTGAGGAAGCTGCTTTCCAGAGAGATTAGCTCCCTATCTCAGAGAATTTTTTCTATTTCTAAATTGTTTAAATTTGGTTTTTCAGTTTTATTTTGTGATCCGGGTGTGCTTCCTGCATTTGTTTAGTCTTAAATGTTCTGAAAACATTTTCCAAAATCCACTCGTGATTTTCTAATCCCTCCTAATACATGGACTACTTAAAATGCTGCTCGTATTTTTGTTTTTAATCTTCACTTTGAAAACGCAAACAAATGTGTGAGACTTAAGAACAGATTGGAGAAGTGAGTGAGGGCCATCAGAAGCATAGGTGAGTGATGGCGGTTCTATTGCCCGTGCACCTTGCAGAGAACGTCAGACTGGGTGAGGTTTGTCACTTCAATATGAGAAGGTAAGTCATCCAAATTGCAGCAACTGTTTATGTTGGATTGGGGCAAAATAAATGTATTGCACTCCCTCTGCTGGCCCTGAAGCTACAACAGCTCATTAACAAACCTATTTTTAAATGTGTTTCTCCACTGAAAAAAATGGTGTGGAAAAGGAAGCAAAAGCTGAAGACACTGTTCGCTTTATTATTCTTTTAAAATGTCGGAAAAACAAACCTCCACATCTGTCTGATGCAAATGGTTAGGATGCGCAAGAGAGCCAGGAGTTTTCAGGCTTTTCAAATAATATTCAAATCTGCAGTGTACAGAGTAAAGAAAAAGGGAGGGGCTTCCTCTTCTCTCGCTGAGAATAAAACCAAACCAAAAAAAAAAAAAAAAACCAGTTGCAGTCAAGTTGACTTCGACTCATGGCAACCCCCTGTGGTGTATCAGACTAGAACTGTGCTCCATAGGATTTTAATAGCCGATTTTTCTGAAGTGGATTGCCAGGCCTTTCTTCTGATAGATTCAGTTCCCAACCTTAGCAACCAAGAACATTAATCGCACGGAAACTTTATACCTCAGGGGAGGCCACTTCCATGCATGAAAGCTAGTTACTTACAAACCTAGAAGAGAATCATGCTGTTGTTGCATGTCCTCAAGTTGATTCAGATGTACAGTGACCATATAGGATAGACTAGAACTATCCCATAGAGTTTTCAGGGCTGTAATCTTTATGGAAGCAGACTGACACATTTTTCTCCTGTGGATTGACTGGTGGGTTAGCAGTCAAGTGCTTAACCACTGCACCATCAAGGTTCCTTAGGAGAGAATCTGCACCGTGGAATCGTAGAGCCAGGGAGGCCCAAGACGCAATGGTTCAACCATGAGTGAGAAGGAGAGCCTGCCAGAAGAGGAAAATGCACATGTCCGGGGACTCTGAGGGCCCCTAGTCCTGTTTCGCTCTTAGTTAATCAGCCTATTGAGTGAGGGTTTTCCTGCAGGGCCAGTCTTCTGCCTGGGCTTTGCTCTCTTTCCTATCCTTGTTCTCTTTCTCCCACAGGCGTCTGGATGCCAACCACATCAGCTACGTGCCCCCAAGCTGTTTCAGTGGTCTGCACTCCCTGAGGCACCTGTGGCTGGATGACAATGCTTTGACAGAAATCCCCGTCCAGCCTTTCAGAACTTTATCAGCTTTGCAGGCCATGACCTTGGCCCTGAACAAAATACGCCACATACCAGACTACGCCTTTGGAAACCTCTCCAGCTTGGTAGTTCTGTAAGTTTTATTGATTTCTTTCTCTTGTTTAACAGTTTCTAAATTCACTGTAACCTTAACCTTAAAATGCTGGCCCTTCAAACCTGGAATGGGGACATCTTCAGGGAGGAAAAACCCCCTGAGCCACTCTCCAAAAAGAAGACCTCATAAATGATCTAACTGTGTAAGTGAATTAAATGACATTTATTGAGCACCTGCTAAGTGCCAAGCACTGCTGAGTATGCAAAGATAATAAAATATGACTTCTGCAAGTCATTACTACATTGTACAATTATTACAGTTACAGAAGTTAAGAAAAATTCATTATTTCTGGTAATTCATAATTTAGGTAAAATTGAAACATGCCCTTCTTATGAATGAAAAAGTACTTCTTGAACACCTACCAAGGAAAGAAAAAATTAACCTTCAACAGTGAGCTATGCATTTATATTGCTTTTTCCCGGTGTGTCTAGATTTCATTATTTTAGTAAATCAAAGTGATTCTCAAGTAATGGTTTGAGAAATAATCAGTTTTCTTAAAGATTTTAGCAATATGCCCCACGTCTATAACATAATAGCCTATCGATGCTGATATAGAAAATAGCAACTACTTGAAAGGCTGTAAGATCAGATTGCTTAGGAACTTTGAGAAGGGTTTTGTCTGCACTGAGTCTTTCTCCTTTTGCTCCCTGCTCACCAACCAACCCACCACTGCCTTCAGGCATTGCACTCACGTGCCAATCTCCTGCACTATAGGATATGCTCCTTTGAGGGCTGGGCAGCAGCTTCCCCATCTTTTAGGTTCCCTTCAATCCCCTGTTTTGCAATGTTTTGTATGTAGAAGATCCCCAATAAAAGTCACATAGATCTCACATGAAATCCAGGTATTGTCTGAAAGGTTAAAAAAGGATAAGAAATTTTTGATGATATTAACAAATTTCTGTACTGAATTTTATGTACAAAAATAATGCTCTGACCCACCAGAAGCTGGATGTGTACTTTAATTTTTTCCTCCACTAAGGGAATGGATTCACATAGATCCAGCTATTCTTTTTCACCCTGTCCTCCTTGAGCCCATTATCCGTTGGGGAGTTAGTCCAGTCTTCAGTTATGCTCATAGCTGTTCTCACTGACCTCGACCTAACTGATTTACCAGTTGAGCAAAGACGATAATCATACACATTAGTACTGTGTCAAGATACATAATCTCTTTGGGCAGCCAAAAAATCTGTTCACCACTCCCCATGGCTGAAATTGTTATTTCCTGTTGACCTGTGGCTCCACCCTGGGAACACAGCCATATTATAAGCCTTCAGCTTTAATAGAAATTGCACTTAGTAGACATAGGACCTTCCCTGAGCCTCTATTTGTTAAAGATGGTCAGTATCTCTGCTTAGCATCCTACATGCCGAAGTCATGCTGAACAATCTATGCTAAATCATACGCTGAAGAACCATGCTGAAAAACCTGAATTTACTTGTATTAATCACGTTGCTTATATCATTATACACGCCCTGATATCTCAAACCCAAAAAGTAAAACTATGTCTACCAATTAAATTCTGTGATACGGAATCATCTGTGGTGAATGTGAATGGGGCATATAGGTATTTTTTTTTTAATGTTGAACAAAGCATTTCTTGTATATAATTAGCGCGTTCTTCAATATAAGTTTCTTTGGATTTAACCAATTGAAACGTTGTGCCTAAGTCTGCTCTGGGTAGTGTGCCTTCCTGACTGCGTCCTTAATGTTCGTCTGCAGGCATCTCCATAACAATAGAATCCACTCCCTGGGAAAGAAATGCTTTGATGGGCTCCACAGCCTGGAGACTTTGTGAGTTGACCTTTTATTTGTTTCCCTTTTTTCAGTGTTTTCATGAATATTCTGAAAGAATCAAAATAGTCTTAAAGCCAAACTTGCTGTTTGGTTTGGTTAATTGGCTGAGCTTTAAACAGATATTTACAGTGACTTTATCGTACACACAAAAACACACACACACCACAGAGCTAAACAATAATGTTATTTCAGTCTAACAAGAGTGATAAATTTAGTTAGAATCGTTGTTAAGTTAAATGAGATGTTCTCTCCTGAGCAGTGACTGTTTGCTTAGGAATGTGTGTTTACTGTCAAGGATCAGTTCTGTGTTGTCATTCAGGCTCACTATTCATAAGTCTGGTTCTCCCTGCTGAATGAGAGGATGCAGACTAAGCAAATGCCTGAGTCTCTAATCTGAGATAAACAGGCTGTTTCATTAGGAAACAGCAAGGTTTGTGTTAAAGCAATTCAAAAGTCTAAAAAGTAATAAGAACTACATTTATTGAGTATATCTATAATCATATACTGTATTGAACACTTGGCATACATTGTCTCAGTTAATCCTTACAACCACCCTATGAGAGCTGTTACTATTTCAATTTTATTCCAGGTTCTAGATAGGTTATGTTATTTTACCAACATTACATATCTAGTCAGTTGCATAACTGGGATTTGCTTTCTTCTCTAGTCTGTCTCTGAAATCCTACCCCATACACTACTTTCAAAGACTAGTTTGAAAATTCAGTTCTGAGTTGGCATCTGTAATATAAGTACAGTCCAGTCAGCTGACCATAGCCTTGAGCTTCTCCCAGAAAAAAAGTGCAAAGGGTTCTGGTGGGCCACCTCAGGGCCCCAGTTTTTTCTCAGGGGAAGAACTGCTCTTCATTGCCCTTTTGAGTGAGAAAGGGATAATAACTGAGAGGTGATAGGCACTGAGGGTCCTGAATGTGCTGGGAGAGGAAGGTCCTGGTGGCTCCAGCTGAGCCCACCCTCCCCCATGTTTTTAATACCCAAGTGCAATAAACCACACAGGGCCACCCAATCTACAATGCTGCCTCTCACCAGGCCTGCAGAAGGAGACAGCCAAAAACCACCTCTCCTGTTGCTGTAGAGTCCAGTATCATATGAATACAGAGTTCAACTCTGTAGATAACCAGGTCCTTAGGGGCTCCTATTGGTGATGGCCTTCTTGTGACTGATGAGCACTAACAGCTTTCCTTCCATGGTTACTCAAGTCACTGAGTGCCAAAGACTAACTTGTCTAGTCATGACCTTGATGTCATCTTAATGGCATAGGCAAGCAGTTCCCATTAGCTGCTAGGAAAACTTAGAACTTCTTCCTTTTATCTACACAGGGCTGGGCTGGGGATCTTAGCAATGGAAATCACCTTCTAGTCCTTTTCACTACAAGAGAGAAAAACAAGATGGGCTTTGATGGATATTTCCATAGTCTTTTTTTTTTTTTTCCTTTCTTTCCCCCCTCCCCCTCCTGTTTGGGTGAGGACCCAGGATTGCATATAAATACCATAGAGCAAAACATTTCAGGGCAAACTTGTGTAAATTTCCTTGTCTCCCTTCCCCCACCTTGCCCAGGGCTACAGAGGATCAGTAAATTGGTTATTCCCAGCCTCTTCCTTCCCCCCACTAGAAATCCAAGTAATTTATAAGGACCCAATCCTTGTTTAATCAAAACAGAGCATCTGGAGAGATTTACAAACAGGAAGAAAATTTATGTCCACAAAAGACACCAGTTTCCTGCCTGCAGTATAGTTTAGGGATGGTTTGTGCCAGACAAGTAGGAATCTTGATTCATGTTTAACTCAGTCAAATTATCTCGCTCTTAAAATTAAATAGCGATTCTTCTCCACAGAGGAAGATCTGACCACATCTGATTGCCTGACCAAAAGGTTTTCCTGTGTCATCTGGGAGATCTACCATTCCCAGAGACCAGGAGGCAATTACTTTTTCATACGAAGATGTAGATATGTTGTGGAGTAAGTCTATAAAGCACTTGTGAGTAATGGAATTGAAAAGCCACTTGTATCATAACAGAGAAATGAATTATTTGAGATCATTTGTCTGGTCATTCCACCTCTCTGCATGAGGGATAATACAGAGTTTTGCCTCACAGACCAAGGAAAACATCATATTTCTAATCTGAATCATGATTTGTGACCCTGAGAAAATTCTAGACCTGATGTCCTTCCTGAGAGTACCCTGTATCACTCAAGCCTCTCCAGAAGCAGGCTCTCATCCTGGACCTCAGGGTGGGGGAGATACAGGCACCCTACAGGAGTCAGGGGCAAAGTAGCCATCCAAGATATCTTACCATGTTACACACTGAAAAGCGGGGTGGGAGGGTTAGAGGGTGAAGGAAGGATCAAGTAGTGGGATGTCATTCAGGAGCCTGGAGGAGTGCAGATACAGGCTCACAATTTAGTGAGTCAGGTACAGATGAAGAGCTACATAGGCAAGAGGTCAACACCTGGTCAGGTGTCCTTCCTACTTGAAAGTTAACACCACTGCACATCCTCTCCCTTCTTTAAATGTACCCGTGCCATTGAACTTTGACTCTGAAACTTCTCATGATCTGTCTAATGAGCATTTTAATGCAGATACTTATGAAATGATAATAGTCAGCAAGCCAGGAAAATCTCTCCATAAAGAAAAGAATGAGAATTTTCATCAATAACATTGGTCTATTGGAAGAGCAGGTTAATTTCTTGTAAATACCGTTTATATGAATTTTTAAATGAAAAACTGAAAATGCTATTTACTTCTTTTCAGAGATTTAAATTACAATAACCTTGATGAATTCCCCACTGCAATCACAACACTCTCCAACCTTAAAGAACTGTAAGTATTAAGAACAAATTTGATGGGAGAATATTATTCTTTGTGAATTTATTCTAAAATATGTGTGATTATTGTACATAATGTTACTTGCTAGAAACTTGAATGCATTAATATAAATAATGGCTAATTGCACTTGAAAGATATTTTAATTGACACCTATCACCAGCAAGTATCTGATAATTATTTTGATTTATAATGGATTTTCTGTAATATATGGGCGTTTTATCTCTTTTCCTAAGCCATACTTGCCCAACATTTATGTACTTTATAGACTGTAGTAGAACCTTTCCTAGGTCATATGAATCTAGCAACAGATGAATAAAACTGTATATGCCTAGTACAGTGCTGGATGCTTTCACATACATTATTTCATATTCTCTAAATTCTTCATGGATCTTATAAAATAACAAAAAAATACCAATTTTACTAATAAAGCTAGCTTTCAGTCATTAGGTTGCATGTACTGTCTTTCATATGACAAAATTTAATTCATTTTTTAGGTTTTTTTGTCACTAAAAATATGAATAACCTACGTGAAGAATGTTCTAACACTTGAAAGGAAAATAAACATAGAGGCTTATTCTCCTGGCAGAGAGATATCAGACACACAGCCAAAGGAGGCAGACAGTAGAGTTTGTTGATAGGAAGAAACCTTCAGGGGGTTCTGCCTTCAGGGGGTTCTGCCTTCAGGAGGTTCTGCCATGGCTTGGCTGGGAAATCACCATCTTATGTGTTCAGACGGCCCAAAGACTGTCACACACATCACACAGCCGCAGCCCACAAAGGACCCAGAGATCACTGACTCCGCCCCTCTGCCTCTCAGACAGAGTTGGCACCGACAGATGAGAATCAATTTGTCATTACAGACTCACTGAGCCTGGGCATCGTCCTTCCAAGCCCATTCCTTAGGGTCAGGAAATTTCATCCTCGTAAGGAGATTACTTAAATCTCTGCTTCACCGCAGTTTAAATCAATTTTATCTTCCGCTAGCTTCAGTCGAGGTCAGGAAGAGCTGATCGTAATCCTGTCTCCAAACATGACTCCCATTCTCTTAGGCTGTTATACTGTGGTGCTTTATGGGATATGAGAAACAGTTTTTGATTCCCAAGAAATCCAGATTTCTGAGTGACCCACCCAGGCCATTGCCCTGAGATGATCTTTTAACCTTGAGCCTTGAGCATACTGGTCTCCTAAAAGTCCCCTTTAAGTCAACAATAGCCTTGCTAATTAGTGAAGACTAGTTGGCCTTGGGAGCCCTAGTGGTGCAATGGTTAAGAGATACAGCTGCTAACCAAAAGGCTGGCAGTTTGAATCCATCAGCCACTCCTTAGAAACTCTATGGGGCAGTTCTACTCTCTCCTATAGGGTCATTATGGGTCGGAATTGACTCAAAGGCAGCGTTTACAGGGGTACAGATAGTTGGCCTTGGGTATTGTGCTCTTTTGAAGAATTATCTATGTGAAGTCAGTTTCCAGAAACAAACCCCAGGGTCAGACTAGAAGCTATGTTTTAGGGTAAATCACCATTATGAAAACACTGTTGCAGCCTGTTTCCATGGCAATGTTGATTAAGATGAGGTATAAGAATCCTAGGACGTTCTCTCATCTTTGGAACACTTCAACTTTCTAGTCAAAAGTGTCGCACGATGTGCAAATCATACATTAAATAAACTTCAAATCAATTTATATTATTGGCTTTATATAATTTTTGTTTTAACAGATTGGTGTTCTTTTTAGAACATGAGGTTGTCTATTTCCATAAAGTACAGTTATTATTTTCAGATTATTTATTCTTCTTTCAAGATGACAGCTTGGGATTTCTTCTTCTAGAGAGTAATTAAGGGCCCATAAGTTTCAAGATGCATAGAAGAATTTAACGTTGTCCTCTGGCTACTAAAGGTGCTGATTATTGCTACAGGAAGGAAAACTATTAAATAATTTTACCCCACATGTTATTTTCTATAAATTGTTTTTTTTCTCTTTTTAGAGGATTTCATAGCAACAATATCAAGTCGATACCTGAAAAAGCATTTGTAGGCAACCCTTCTCTTATTACAATGTAAGTGACCGTAGTGCTTTTTTGATTTTCCATCCTGAAATTTAGCATGTACAATAAATGTTCAATATTTGCCCAAGTTGTGTCTGTCAGTTAGTGTAAGAAACTATACAGAGGAGTGTATATGAAGGTGTTTTGCCAGGTTTTAGATGAACACTGGAAAAAAAAAGTTTTGTTTTTTTTTTTTAGGATCTACTACATGAAGGACAAGGAGCCCTGATGGCTCAGTGGTTAAGTGCTCAACTGCTAACCAGCAAGCTGGAGGTTCAAACCCACCAGCCACTCCTCGGGAGAAAGATGTGGCAGTCTACTTCTGTAAAGATTACAGCCTTGGAAACCCTATGGGGCTATTGTACTCTGTTCTATAGGGTCGCTATGAGTCGGAATCAAAATGACGGCAATGGGGTTTGGTTTTATATATATATGTGTGTGTGTATGTGTGTGTGTGTGTGTGTGTGTGTGTAGGACAGGAGTCCCTGGGTGGCATAAACAGTTAAGCACTCCACTACTAGCCAGAGGGGCCTAGGAAAAAAAGCCTGGTGATCTACTTCTGAAAGGATGAAGCAGTTCTACTCTGCATACATGCGGTTGCCATGAGTCAGAATTGACTCGAGGGCAACCACCAACAATAACAACAATGTGCAGGCCATTATGCTGTATATCTTTAGATGCCTTGTCTCACTTCACAGTAATGCTGGGAAATACTTTTGATATCTCCATTATCTACGGGAGAAAATTGATTTTTAGAGAATCAATGTTAAGGTTACACTGTCCAAACTTGAACCTAAGTATATTAGAAATGTAAATTATTATATACAAACAAGGGTCCTTTACAGCTGTAGACTCCAGTCTAAATTGTAAAGTGGGGGTGGAATTCTGTTTTATGCCAAGTCCTCATATCTATTAATTATCAAGCCCACGCACTGAGTCACATTTATACAAAGTAGGATGTAATTCTAGAAAGTTGTGTATGTTCTAGAAAGGTGTACGTGAGGATTTATATGCCAACAAAAGCATAAAACAGTCTCCAACTACAAAGTATAATTAATTCTGTGCTTCACATTTAGCACAGACAGAAGATTGTAATATGTAGATATAAAACCCGTTGCCGTCAAGTAGATTCCGACTCATAGCAACCCTACAGGACAGAGTACAACTGCCCCATAGGGCTTGAGGAGTGGCTGGCGGATTCAAACTGCTGACCTTTGGGTTAGCAGCCAAACTCTTAACCACTGCACAACCAGGGCTCCAAGTGTAGCTATAGGACAATGAAAATATTTAAACATTCAGCTGGCTCTTAGATAAGAGACACCTGTCAGGAGCAGCTTTGGGGCATAGCGCTGGCCTGGGGTCATGGGTGAGGGGTCTCAGCTGTGGAGAAGGAGAGTAAGGACAACTGTTGAACATGACTCCAGGGCACTTCTTCGCAGATGTTTGTCCTGTGCTAACTTGATTAAGAGGCTTTCTGAAACCACATGGCATTTGTCACAAATGAGCTGGAGTCTCAGCCCTGATGACTGAAAACAGTACCACTCATCATTTCTGAAATGTTCAGGCAGTATGTTGGCAAACTGAGAGTTTTGAAGTCTATTGACCAATAAACAGGGCTCCTCATTAGAGAGTATTTACATATTAAGAGGTTGGTAAATTGCACTGCCTTTGCTCCTTTTTCCTTGCAGCCACAGGGCTGGTTTTTAATCACTCTTTTGATATGCTAATCACCCCAGAGGAGGACTCCAAAAACCCACTGCAGTCGACTCACAGAGACCCCACCGGGTTTCCAAGGCTGTAAATCTCTACTAAAGTGGACTGCCTCATCTTTCTCCCTCGGAGCTGCTAGTGGTTTAGAACATCAGCCGTTTGGTCAGCAGTCTATCGCTTTAACTACTGTGCCACCAGGGCCCTTACAGAGGAGGGCTAACCGTCCTAATATTTACTGAAGCTTCTATCCAGTGTTTGGAGCCCTTTTGGCACAGTAATTAAGAACCTGGCTGCTAACTAAAAGGTCGGCAGTTCAAATCCACCAGCGGCTCCTTGGAAACCCTATGGGGCAGTTGTACTCTGTCCTATATGGTCACTATGAGTCGGAATCAACTTGACGGCAATGGGTTTTTGGTTTTATCCAGCATTTGATGGTGTTGATCACTTTCTCCATGAAGCTCTCCTCTCCCTGCTCCCATGTCTGTTTCCATCTCTTTTCACGGCCATCCCCACACCCGCCCCTTCTGACTATTTCTGTGAGTGCTTCCTGTAGCCCATTAGCTACCCAGTCTTCATTTCTACCTCTGTAGTCCCTATCCTATCCATCTTCCCATCCTTCTTTCATCCCCACTGCCACCATTACTTGTAGATTTGTACCAGTCAAGAGCATCAGGCTGGTCTCCCTGCCATGGCAGAGGCATCTCACTAGAAGCACAGCATCCAACTTGTCACACCCCTGCTGCGAAACAAAGAGAGATTCAAAGTTGTCTGTTTACGTTCAGTGGAAACATCTTACCCTGCCATTCACAGCCCTCCAAGACAGAGCCCAAGCCAACCCTGCCTCCCAATTCCCCAAAGCTCTCCTGAATTACTCTATGCTGTGTTGTTGTTAGTTGCCCTCGAGTGGATTCTGACTCATGGCAAACCCCATGTGATCCCATGTGTGCAGAGTAGAACTGCTCCATAGGATTTTCAAGGCTATGACCTTTCAGAAGCAGATTACCAGGCCTGTCTTCCAAGGCACCTCAAGTTGGGTTCGAACCACCAACCTTTCAGCTAGTAGTCGAGCGCTTATTCATTTGCACCACCCAGAGATTCTTCTCTATGCTGTAAACCAAGCTATATTCATAGAACAAAGCTCTTTCCTTTTTTTCCTTTGCTCCTACTCTTTCATCCCCTCACTATGCTTGTTGAAATTCTGTCTCCAGGACCCATTTCAAATGCCATTTTCATGAAGTTTCTATTGATATCCCCCTAAAATGGGAGAGAGCTCCGTCCCAGAAAGCCCATAGCTCCTTGTTTGTATTTCTGATACTTCTGCCTTATGTACACAAACATGTGCATTCATATCTGTCCAGTGTACATACATAGGTACATGCATACGAACACAATTATATACATGCAAGCATACAGTGCAGATAACAGATTGTGTAATATTATGAGGAAAATTCCATTTTTTAATCATAAGGCCTATCTTCCAGCTTTAGTTATTCCTCTTACCAATTGTTCAATCTCAAGGGAAAAGAAGAGAACCAAGGGTTGGAGGATAGAAGGGGACTTAGGTGTGTTGGGTAACAACTATGTCCTAGGCGCTATGCCCGATGCTACACATGCATTAACTCATTTAATTCTTACACAAACTCTACAAATAAATACTATTATCTCAGAAAATCAGGTATCTGGGAGGTAATGAACATGCCAAGGTTAATTACCTGAGTCTTAGTTTCTTTCTTCAGAAATGAGGAAAACGGCATCACCTTACAGATCGTATAAAGTTGTTGTGTCCCTCAGTTGCACCATATAAGTGAAAGTGATATGCTCTTATCGTATTTATTTGTTTTATCCCAACTGATTCCAAGTGTCTTTGGAGCAGGCCCCTTCACACGCCCACCATCTAGCATAATGCCAGGCACATAATAGATACTCAAGGACAACTTCTTGAATGTATTAGTCTTTAAATCCCTGCCAATATTGACCCTCATACTTCGAATACAGTAGACATCGATAAATATTTGTTGAATTTAATTGAAGTATAAGGTCATTTCATTTAAGAACTATGTGTGGGGGCTCCGTTAACCAGGCAGTTCAAATACCATTACATTGAAAACATCTGTAAAACAAAAATATTTTTAAGTTCTAATACCACCCAACCTTTTAAAGCAATAATTGATGAAAGAAAAATTGTAATGTTACAAAATCCCCAAATAGCTATTTTCCTCTCAAATGATTTGAAGAGTCCCTTAGGTATGTTGTGATAAAATCTGACCAGTGGGTATAACCTTCATATAGAACTTCACCTTTCTTTAATTATATGATTGCCAATACTTTGAATTACCTTTTTGCCACTCAATGAATAATCCACAGTTGTTGGAGGCAGAGGAAGATTATTAAGGTTAACTCCACTCTGCTCATGTGCATTTTTGTTTACTATCATTTATATCTGCCTTGCTGTCAGAAATTTTCAATGTTATATAGTGTAGATTTCTTTTTTTAAAAAAAGTCTCATAATGCAAATCAAAACACTTTTTGAGGTTTTCCTGAAACCAAGGAATCAGGAATGTTATGTAATATGTTGTTGTTGTTGATAGGTGCCGTCAAGTCAGTTCGGACTCATAGTGACCCTGTGTACAACAGAACGAAACACTGCGCGGTCCTGCACCATCCTCACAATCATTGTTATGTTTGAGCCATTGTTGCAGCCACTGTGTCAATCCATCTTGTTGAGGGTCTTCCTCTTTTTCACTGACCTTCTATTTTACCAAGCATGATGTCCTTCCCCAGGGACTGATCCCTCCTGATAACATGCCCAAAGTATGTGAGAGAAAGTTTTTGTCATCCTTGCTTCTAATGACCATTCTGGCCGTACTTCTTCCAAAACAGATTTGTTCATTCTTTTGGCAGTCCATGGTATATTCAATATTCTTCACCAACACCATAATTCAAATGCATAAATTCTTCTGTTTTCCTTATTCATTGTCCAGCTTTCACATGCATATGAGGCGATTGAAAACACTATGGTTTGGGTCAGGCACACTCTAGTCCTCAAGGTGACATCTTTGCTTTTCAACACTTTAAAGAGGTCTTTTGCAGCAGATTTGCCCAATGCAATGCGTCGTTTGATTTGACTGCTGCTTCCTTAGGCATTGATTGTGGATGCAAGTAAAATGAAATCTGTGACAACTTCAGTCTTTTCTCTGTTTATCATGATGTTGCTTATTGGTCCAGTTGTGAGGATTTTTGTTTTCTTTATGTTGAGGTGTAATCCATACTGAAGGCTGTAGTCTT